ATTAAGATTGAAGATCAGCGTGGCACAATTCTAGTATGCTCTTTGATGTCACCATTTATGGACATGAAATTTTGTCAACTTTCTATGACTTCTTCCCCACAGTAAATTAATATCTCAAAGGTTCCACACACATAGTATTCATAAGAAAAAAATGTAAAAAATGTAAAAATAAAAAATGAAAAATAAAAACAATTCCTTTAAATACATTATTTGTTATTAAGTAAAAATTATTAATATAAGTCTCTCTCTTTATTTAATTAAATGTTTTGTAGTTTTTAATAAAATTAAGACTGAAGTGATAAGAAGGGGGTGAATTTAAATCTTTCAGTTAATATAGTATATTAATTGTTAATATTTGTCTATAAAAAAGATAGATTTGATTAAACATAAAATTTATATAAGAGTGTATTATTTCCTCTAATGATCAAATGGCGTTATTAAGAAAGAAGGAAAAAAAATTTGAGAGTACCTCAAATTTCTGTACTTCTTCAATAAAATAACTTAATTGTACCAACTATTTAGTAATAACTATCGCAATCGATATTGTAAATATTTATGTTACATCAAAGAAGCAAAATCTTCTCTTATAAAATTTGTATAAAAAAAATTCTGACTATGACAAGGGTTGCTATTTTCATTATATTACTGATATGCCTTATTATTGATTGATATGTCTTCTTAATTGGGGCTCAAGATACTGCTTTTCTTTTAGAATTTTGTTTTGGGCTTCGAGATTACAGGGTCTTCTTCATTAGAGGTTACATTTGGGCCTTTCTTCGGCCTACATTTGGGCCGTGTTATTATTTTATGGACCTTTTCAACATAATTTTTTTTTTCTAAAAACCTATTTTGGTCCCTTATAATAATTGTTTGTTTCAATTTAGTCTCATTTTTATTTTTGGTTTCAATTTGGTCCCAAATAAATTAATTGGTTTCAATTTGGTCCCAAATAAATTAATTGGTTTCAATTTAGGACTTCCGTCCAAATTATTTAAACGGAGTTAACTATTGGCCACGTGGATGCCACGTAGATGCATAGGTGGATGCCACATGGATGACATTTTTTTTTTGAAAACACCTGGACCCAGAACGGCCCGTTCTGAAACCAGAACGGGCCGTTCTGGTTCCACACTGCTGAACATAAACGATCAATGATTTCAAACACTGAATTTGGTAATATTATCAATGGAAATTAATAACTTCAATTGCTAAACAGTTAGGCTATACAGTGTATTATTAAGGACACTGCAATGTATCACTAAAGACAATGGTAGCAGATTTTATTTCATTTTCAAACTGGAGTGAACCACTTACTACCAAATTAACACTATACAGTAAAAGATAAAATGACATGGTATTTTTCCTTGAAGTCATTAACAATGTACCCCAACAACAACAACCTGTTCTTGAAGAGGTAGAACCTGAAGTAAAGGAAAAAGATACACAAGACTAACATTTCACCACACAACCATATGCAGGGACAGATCTAAGTTAATTTTTATCATTTTATTCCTCTAATTTTAAATAAGTTACAAAAAATTATAAAATGACACTTAAATATTTCTTCAGACAGAAAGAGAAAAAGAAAAAATTATTACTCCATTTATAAGATAATTGTATTTTATAAAAATAAGTAATTTAAAAATTTTTACCATAAAAAAATATTTTTTAATAAAATTAATAAAGAATATTATATTCTCAGTTTTGGAACGGGCCCAGAACGGCTGGTTTGAATCCAGAACGACCGTTCTGAATCTAGAACGGCCCGTTCTGATGTACTGGTGGTGTGTTAGTTTTGCATCTGGAACGGCTCGTTTCAGGTGCAAAATTAACACACCAAGAGTGTATCCAGAACGGCCCATTCTGGTTTAGAACGGGCCGTTCTGGTTCTAGATGTTTTTACAAAATTTGGCGTCCACGTGGTATCCACGTATGCATCTAAGTGGCATCCACGTGAGCAAAAGTAACTCCGTTTAAATAATTTGGACGGAAGTCCCAAATTGAAACTAATTAATTTATTAGGGATCAAATTGAAACTAATTAATTTATTTGGAACCAAATTGAAACAAAAAATAAAAGTGGGACTAAATTGAAACAAACAATTATTATAAGGGACCAAAATAGGGTTTTAGCTTTTTTTTATAAGTACACCTCTTTTATTTTTTTTTTAAATATAAAATATTTATATATATATATATATATTTTAATTTTTCTAATTTTATAGCTCCAACTTTCAATTTTCTACTTTCTTCTTCTTTTTACACACTCTTTTTTCTTCTTCATTTTTCACATGCATCATTTCGTCTTTCTTCAATTTTTCATATATTTTAGTAGGTAGTTTTAACTCTCTCAATTTTTACATTATTCTCTCCTTCCCTTACCTCTTTTACTTTTTTATATGTACCTAGACTGTAGAACTGGTACACAACAACATTATAGGTATGTGTAACTTCCTCGACAATTTCTACCAAGCTAGACATATATTTTTTTTCTTTCAACACTTTTTCTCCTTTCACCCCTCCAAAAACCTTAATATTAAGTTTAATGTTATGACAAAAAAATATTTTTACTATTCCAGAGTACTGTGCGCGATAGTGAAATTAGTGTTCTAGAAAGATATTCCTATTGATTGTATTTTTTTACATAATTTCGGAAAATACTTCTTAGAACAATATGTAAAAAAATATAATCAACATTGTCGAGAAATTCACACACACCTATAATATTGTTAAAAACTAGTCCTACATTTTGCGTGTGTATGAAAATTAAAAGTGCGGAGAGAAGAGACAATAGTAAGAAAACTAAAAGAGGAGGGAGAAAAAGAGTAATGTAAGACTAAGAATTACAGCTACCTACCAAAATAGGTGAGGTGAATGAAAGGTAAGGGGATACATGTAAAAGTTAAAAAAAGGAGGGAAGATGTATAAAAAAAATACTAAATTAAATATTGTAGATGTAAAATTAAAAAAATAAAAAATAAAAAATAAAAAATTTTTAAAATTTTAATTATTTTTTTTAAAAAGAGGTGTAATTATAAAAAAAAAGAAGGTGTATATATCATGAACCTAATTTTTTTTATTAGGTTAATTTTACTTGAATTTTATTAAATACAAATTGAGTTAAGATATTTTGTCGGAAGTCTAGGAAATAAAACTAATAATAAAAATATGTAAGAAAGTATATAAATTTTTCTACTTCATAAACCACTAATTAAAAATTTAATAAATTTATGTTCTCTACATGTATCTTAAACATGCTTTTAGGTCCTAAAATATCTGTGCTAGGTTTTTATATTTTTAATGTTTATCGCTAATTACATACTGACATGTTTGTTAAGTAATGATATGACAAATAAAATGCTACATTATCATTACCATATGTATTAAAAAAAAAGAAATACACGATCTTGTTGTTATCCCATCTCATTCTCACATCACTTTCACCGTATTCTTTCTTCACCTTTTTCCTTGCACTTCTCTTACCTCACTATGGTTACTACAATCATTTTTTTTTCCTCACCATATTAAGCCACAATGACTTAACTATTTACCCATCATTACAAGATATCCCACCTTATTTATCTTCTTTCATAATCTTTTTTGACCTCCATAGACACCGATAAATCAACTATAAACTCCAAAATAGCACTCTAATCATATACATGTAACTACCACTCTTAATTAGACCTAAGTCATGACCCCAATCTTGTAACACGTGGTCCATTTAATTACAAGCCCTTTTAATTTCAATCTCCCTAGCTTGCGAGGTTAGTGGATTGGTCTGAAAATTATGAGGGTCGGTTCACAATCTTTTTTCTTCAAATTATGATTAGAATTTTTTTTAAATGCTTGAAATAGGTTGATTTTGTCAGTTATTCACTTGAATATTGATTGATGTGCTTAGTTAGTTTGTATTAACCAGTATATATTTGATATTTATTTGAGACTTTATTTTCAGTTCTAGTTTTATTTAATTTTTAGTTTATCTTAGTCATTTATTTATCTTTCATTTCTTTAATTTACAAGCCAACACATTTATATAAAGAGAAATGCTAGTAATAAATTTTGTTAATCCCAAACGTGTAGTTTAGCGGTATGGGTTGATCCACGCTTAAGCAAGATCAGGGATTCAAATCCTATCTTGTGTATCCAGCTGCGTTAAATCTTGGGGTCAGCTATCCTAGCAAGAAGATTAGTCATTGCTATCGGTCCTGGATACTCCAGGGATGAACAAAAAAAAAAACTTTATCACACTCATTTTTATTAATTAAAATTTATTAAAAAGTAAAAAATTTGATAGGTTTCATATTTTATTTAATGGGTTCTCTCTCATAACTTGATAGTTTTCAAAAAATCCTAATCCACAATAGTAAATGTATTAAAAGAAATATATTACTAACCCTCCTTTTTAAATATGAATTATCCAAAACATGCTTATAAACAAAACAAAACCCATTTATGAGCAGCCCAAGCAATTAAAATTGTGGGCCAATAAGTTTAAACAGGCCCTACAGTAGCCGCCCAAGAGCTAAGCCTCATAGAGAGAGAAAGAGAGCTACCTCGTACACCAAAGTTGCTCAAATTTATTTTAAACATTCACATTAATGAAACTAGTGCAAAGATAATCTATCATTTTACATAACTAAAATTTATTATAAATAAATATTTCAAATATATAAATTTTATTATAAGTAAAATTTGTTACAAATAAATATATTTATCGTGTAAATTATTTTAATGGTAGTGTTCGATGCAATGGTTAAAAATATTTTTCCATTGCGGTTTGAAAATGGATGCATATGTGGAATAAGACAGATCTCATGTGTCAATTGTCATAGGCACAATTATTATATGCATTTGGATATACATGTTATACAATTATTATGTTTTTTACTCAGAAAAATGAATTATCATTATTGAATAATTATCGATGAGTAATTTGTTAATTTTTGTTTATTGTGAAAAAATATGAGGATCAATTTTGTTTTGTTCAAAATTTAAACCTCGTAAAGGAATCTGTGACGTTGCTTTTCAGCTTCATCCATACTTTCTCTTCGTTCAATGTCCATTCAGTTTCTCACTCTTCCCTCACTGCAACCAAAAACGGCAACTTTGATCCAAACCTACCCTTCCCTTTATTGAACCTTCAAATCCCTTCACTCTTTACTCTTCCCCAGTCTCAATATTCATAAAGTTCACCCATTTCCTCACTTGTTTTCTTTCATTTCTTCACATTGGAGGTTTAGGGTTCTGCTCTTGCCTTTTCTATTTGAGGGTATGATCCTCTTTCACTTCCCTTGTCTTTATGTGTTGATAATCTGAATGTGTTGCTGATCTGGTTCTTTTGAATTCCACCTTGGCTTCATTGTTTTTATTTTTAAGATAAAAATTATTGCTTTTTATTATTTTTGTCTGGGGTTTTGCTGATTTTAATGCCATTTTTAAGGAAAGAGTAAAACTGACTCTTGGTTGGTGCTGTGTAGAATTTATTGCAAGTTTTGTTTTGACTTCTAGTTTTATGGGTTTTGTCCTTTTTTGTAAATAAGCTCTCCGGTTTGGTTTTGGATTTTTCAATTACTTTATGGTATTTTTCTGTGCATAACTGCTCACCTATGTTTCCATTATTAATTATACTTGAAAAATTCATTTATGTTTAGCAATTAATGTTTTTGTTTTTGAATTTAAAATTTATGGTTAGTGAGTTTAATTTAGTTTGACATCTATTTATGATGGAACTGAGGCTCAGTTGAATATGCTTCTTGCAGATTTTTATGCTCGAGTTCTGTGGTTTCTAAAGCATTCACATGGGGAAAGGAAGGAGTCCTGGGAAATGGTTCAAGAACTTACTCTTAGGGAAAAAATCCTCGTCAAAGTCTACTTCATCAAAGAAGAACGATATTTTTGTAAGTATTTCGATGGTTGACATCCGTTTGTGTTTTGTATGATTTGCTATAAAAATTGTCTGTGATATAAGAAACTATGGAAGGGAAAAAATTTCATTGTTGGTACCTATGAGTGCTTAGACTTCTGAAATATGCATGTTGTAATTGTTATTTCATTTTGTGTGTAAAGAAACCTTTAAGTGACAAGGATCCGCTGGTGTCTTCTGAGGTGCCTGTGACTGACCCAACTGTGGATTCTTTGCGGATATCCTCACCAATATCCGGAGTTAATGATACTAAAGGAGTGCTTTCAGAAAAGGTGGTAGTTAGTAGGTCGTCACAAGATAGGGATGTGCTTTCAAATGGAGATGAAGGGGTTAAGGTGCTAGAAGTTGCTAATTGTGGATCTCAAGAGGATGTTGAGAAACTCCAGCTTATCGAAGCAGCTATAAAAGTTCAGGCTGCTTGTAGAAGCTATCTGGTAATCACTCCCTTGTAGTTGCCTTGTCCGTCCTGCATTTTTATAATGCACTCTGATTTGAATTTTTCTCTGTACCTATTGATTCTTAATTTGTATGCTATTGCATGCAAGTTTCCTAAGCATTGATATTTTGTTGGGAGTTTCTATATGTATGTTATTGAATGCTTAAAGTGATTCCTGCATGATTCATTGAAGGCTCGTCAAACATTTCAAACACTCAAAGGTGTCATACAACTGCAAGCTCTTATTCGTGGCCACTTGGTTAGAAGACAAGCTGTTTCTGCTTTATACTGCGTGAAGGGAATAGTTAAATTGCAAGCATTGGCTCGTGGTTACAATGTTAGATGTTCTGATATTGGGCTTGCAGTCCAGAAAATTCGTAAGGTAAAAGTTCTTTAACTAACTCATCAATTCAGTGATCTGTGCATTATCTTTCCTGCCTTTTTGATGGAAATGTTTCTTAATAAATTAGTATCCAAAGGTGTTTTCTAAATTTTCCACCATACAGTTGGTATGTTCTAGTGATTTATAGATCTTATTCCATGGGGTGAATGCCATTGCATTCCTAGCCCTTCTATTACTTCACTAACTCCATGGGGTGTTTTTGTTAGGATACTCATTGTTCAAATTCTATTCGGGCAGTTTCATCCACACAGGCAGAGAAGCTGTCTGAAAATGTCTTTGTTTGCAAGGTAAGAACTGATGTATAATATATATTACCTACAGAGAGGATAAATAGATTCTTTCAGTACTAGGAATATCTGAAATATGATTTATTTCAGTAAATTAAAACTGCAAGATATTACTAACAGATAATAATGTTGCTGTCATGAAGATTTCTTCCCCAGATTATGCGAGCTTGGTGCTTTTCATTTTCTCCTAATATGGAGCTATTTTTTAGGTTATTTCCTTTAGAAAAAGATAAATTTGTCTCCACTTTTGGGCCTATAAACTTGTCTCTAGTTCTAAGTGCCATTTTCAACTTGTTTTGGTTATATTTCTAGTTTCACGATCTTGTTTTACATGAAGATCACTTCCCCTGTTTATGAGTGAGCTTGATGCTTTTCACTTTCTTCTCTAATGTGGAGCTAATTTTTAGGTTACTGATAGTAGTAGGATAAATTTGTCACAACTTTGGGTCTCATAAACTCGTCTCTAGTTATATGTGAAGTTTTCAACTTATTTTTAATATATATATATATAGGTCCATGATCTTGTTTTACTTTTACACCACATTTTATTCACTATGCTTCAGCTGAAGTTTCTCAGTCCTTTAATATCCAATTTTTTTTTCTTCTCAAACTGCCTGTCCTTGCCATGCTTTGTGGAGAATTACATTAATGTTCACTTATAGTTCCAGTAATTATTAATGTTGAGTGACAACACTGACAAGTTATTTTTGGTTACTGAACCAGTGAACCTCATAGCAAATTTTTTTGTCACTCATCACTTTTACGTTACACACTCTTGATATATGATTTTTGAATATGAATGGTATAACAAAGTTCGGAACAAATGGTGTGCATTTTATTTTTATTGTTCCCTTGTAAATCTTATTGCTTTGAAACTAATTTATTTCATTATATTATTTTGGGTCTTGACTAAAGCTCATTTCATGTTATCCATTTTAGCTTCTGGCTTCATCCCCATCTGCAGTTCCTCTTTCACTCAATGGTGACCCTGGAGAACCTAAACTGGCCTGGAAGTGGCTGGACTATTGGACACAGTCACACTTCTGGGCCCCTCTTCCCAAATTGAAAAGGAAACTTGACTCCGTGTCTGATGAGAAAAATGGAAGTTCTCAGACAGTTGAAACGGGAGAAGTTAAAAAAAATACTCGGAAATCTACTTCTTTGAAAGCTGACAATGGCCCAAATTTAGGATCCAACAAATCTAAACTGCGTCCGAAAAAGGATTCAAGCCACCCATTGTCTTCAGCTCAGGAACAGCCACAAAAAGAAACCAAGAAAAGTAGTGCTGAAAAAGTTCACAATGGATCTGAGGTTGTTAATGAAAAAAGAAAATCCAGCGGTAGAAAGATTTTGGATCATGCTGTTACTGATATTTCAGAGAAGGGCCCTAGTGCCTCTTCAGAGAAAACGAAAGATTCAACAGAGCCAAAGTCAAAAGAGTCTGATGCTGAGAAAGCTCTTGGACAGCAAGCAAACGACAAGAATGATGAACCACATAATGATCCATTTGCTGTCTTAAAGACTAGTGTCGAGAAGGGTGAAAATGAAAGAATTCAAGGAGTCAGCGACGATTTGAATGGTGGTGACAATTGCATCAGTAACAATTGCCAAAGAAGAGCTTCACTACCTGCTAATTTTAATGATCAAGATAATGAGTTGTATAACACTCCAAGATTGCCCAGTTATATGGCTCCTACTGAATCTGCAAAAGCTAAGCTAAGAGCACAAGGGTCCCCAAGATTTGCTACTGATTTGGTAGAGAAAAATGGTACAACCAGGCGGCATTCACTTTCATCCTCACTTACATCCTCACTTAATGGCAAGTCAGGTTCATTTTCCCCAAGAGCTGAAAGGTTGGTAGCCATGAGCAGCAGAGGAGCGATAAGGTCTGATAGATCTCTTTCATCTTCAAGGGATGGAACTGGTAAGCATTTAAGATTTTGCATTTTTTTCTTTGTATTTTTAAATTAGTAGACTAGTTGAACTTCGAAGCTCTGCATTAATGTGCCCTCCCCAGTCCTCACCTTTTGGAAAACAATTTTGCATTAACATGCATATACACAAGTATCCATCCACATATATACATGCTTAAATTATTTGCTTCCATGTTTTGTTGTGAGTAAAGGTTTTGCTGTTTTTATGAATGACTGACTACTACAAGACTTTGCTAGACTGCTAAAGCTAATTTCCTTGTTTGAAAGCGATAATGTTCTTTTGTTTGTTTGTTTCTTTTTTTATTATAACAAAGTTTTCTTCATTACGAAATGGATTGTGCTTTGTATTATTTATAGTGAATGATGTACCGTGTATATTGATTTCCCACTCTATGATGCTTGATTGCATGGTGTAGACTTGTCGGAATATTATTAATTAGTTTTGCAAGTGCACTAAACCACACAAGTAATCAAGTACAGTACCATTTTCACGTGAATTAGGTTAACAAGTACCACTTCAGTAATCCAGCTATTATCTAGACATCAAATCAATATAAAGCATCGTAAGTAAAACTAATAAAGTAAAGCCAAATAGAAAAATAACTTGAAAGACAGTAGAAGTGCAGTAGCAAGTTAGAGAGAGAGGGCCCAATATTGAAGAAACTGAGAATCTAATTTAGCATGGTTTTTTCTATTTAGTATTTAGAATTCCAACCTATCTAATACCAAACCAATCAATTAACAAGGAGACTCCCTAGATTGACTAATACCCCATTCATTTTTCTAATAATCTTTTTTAGTTCCTAAGGCCAACAAGAGTTAGGTCAAACACATTTTTGTAAGGAAAGTTGTGCCAAATTTACTAAAATAGGTCCGAGAGCAAAAATCCTCAGAATCACCGGCAATCAAAGGATAAAGATTTGATATTGGTCAAAATTTGTCTGCCAACATGCATATAACTCTTCACCCTCCTAAAGCATGAACTAGCCACAGGTGTCTGCTTGTATGGTGGAGGAATTTTTCTTAACTTTCTATGGACACCAAAATGAGCTCAATCTGAGGTTTGTAGCAAAAGTTAGGATCAAAATAGTGAGGTTTAGACGTCTCTTCATTAGAATTTTGGCAATTTGGCTCACATTTTCATGAAACCCATAAATTTCTAGAAAAGACAACAAAAACACATTTAATTTATTAGGCATATAGAATTCACTTAAAATAGAGATATTTCATTAAAAGCACTTCAGTTTCTTTGTTGTTGTTGTTGTTGATGTTGTTGTTTTTTTGTTTTTTTATTTATTTTATTTTATGCATAGTTTGTGTTTGCTTAAATCATGTATACAAGATGTGTGGAATTTTCACACCTTAAATATTAGTGCACTCTGATTGTTATGTAGTCCTTTTCTGTTTCCCCTAATCACTGTGTTCTATGAATATTATCAATTTCAGAGAAGATAATCCAACCTCAGTGGAGAAGGTGATTCTTCGTTATTTTTCAAGGCAAGGATACTTGAAGGAGGTAAAAACTTGAATAGTAAAAAACATGCAGACTTGCATTACAACCTTACTTTACTTTTCATTTTCATTACTATTTATAGTCATGGAAGAAAGGGATACAATATTGTGATCAGCATCTGATATCAAATTTCTTTTAGTAGGAGTACTTTGGTGGGTATATATTTACGGATCTAATGTGCTTGTTTTCTTGCGTCTGTGATGTATTATTATTGCTAAGAAAATTGGTTCAGTGTCATATTCATACTCAGCTTTAGAAACACCAGAGGCATTATGAGCAATCGAAAGAATTTGAAGTGACATTGCATTAAGCTTAAAAATGTGATTATGTGATGCTACTTGTTCTAGACTTTTTTTTTTTTTTTTTTTTTTTTTTTTTTTT